TGTGATTCATTTGTTCCTTCAGATCTTTGGTTCATTAATAATATAATGATCATGTCTCGGATAGCTTGTATCGCTTCTGTCAATTCATTGTTCATCCTATTATTTGTCATCTGGAATTATACAAGTTAGGAATTATAAGATCTCATGATAGATTCATTTCACATGTCACATATGAAATGTTGCTTTGATGCCATCTAATATAACATTTAAATATGTGTATATATATAACATTTTTTTACAGGGGTGACATATGAAATAAAGATATTTTATAGATAAGAGTAATTTACATTATTATTTTTTATACAAAATATATACAAGAAGAAGGAATTTTATTTATTTTTTATTTCTTCTATTCTTACTATGATTATACAAATATTTATATTGTCGGTGGAAACAAAGCTGATTAAAGGATTCGATGAATGGTAGGAGACATGCGAGAAAGTGACCACTATTGGTTCGTCTAACATAATGAGAGTTCTCATGTCGGATGAAAATGTCAAGATAATCTCGTCCCTTTGAAAGTAACCAGGTTGTCAATAATGTTTGTGTTCCAAGTAGTTCGTGGAAAGAAGACAGGTAATGTTTGCAGAAAAGAGATTTGAGATATTTAGCGCATCCATCAAATTAAGTTAGTATTTAAAAATAACATGCACAAGAGATCACAATATGGAGGAAGAACAATTATCATTTTAAATAATATAATCTACTGATGATATATAAAATATACTTTTCAACTTCCTTAGCATATTTCATTTATTCCATATTATGAAGATTTGAATTAAATTTGTAGTGACTAGTTAGGATAAATAAACCCAATTTTAATCATGGTGATATATACCAACTTCCATCTATAATATGATCAATTCTTCATAATAGATATTATTATTTAAAAACAATTAAATAATATAATTATGAATTAATAAACAAAGACTAGTGGATAACTAGAAATAAAATAATAAGACCAATGCGTAACTAGAAATAAATAAAATATGACATGTGTCACTATGTGTAACTGAAGACAAATAAAGAAATAGAAAATAGGACCATTGCATAACTAAAAATAAATAAATATAAAACAGGATTTATACGTAACTTGAGATAAATAAATAAATATAAAATAGGACCAGTACGAAGATAAATAAATACACATAAAACATAATCAATGCATGACTAGAGATAATTAAAACATGACCAGTGCAAGACTAGAGATAAAGTAAATAAATATAATGTAGGACCAGTAAGTGACTGAAGATAAATAAATAACCTAAAGTAGAACAAAATGACTAAAGATAAATAAATAACAGAATAAGTAGAATGAGGTTAGAGATACCTCACTCTACAACCATAGTTAAAATAAAATAGATAAGATGATAAAAGTCTCATTCTCTTCCTCGATATTTATAAATTATAAACCAAAATTTGTCTCTAAGTTTATTTTTCTCCCTCTCTCCTTCTCTGTATCTCTTTTTCTCTTCCTTTATTTTTCTTACCCTGTTTTTCACCGCACCCCACCTTTAACATTTCCCCTTCTAAATATATATATATATATATTGCAAATTATGATTATTGTTAATGAAAATGACATTATGTTTGAACATATTAAGGAAAAGGATAATATATTAGCTAGTACATAGAAGTGAATATGTTGATTAAATGACATATAACCCCTCCTATTATTTTTGCATCTTTAATTATAATTGATGTTGAAACCAATTTATTTAAGATATTTTAATGCGTATTATAATGAATCAAGTGAGAGAATGTTAGAAAAAAAATGTGACTTATGTGGTTGGTTAGTATTAGAAGTTTTTAAACTTATAGGAAGTTTTTAAATGATGGTAACCAACTTAGTAGATAGTATGAGGAGTTATCTAATTTAGTGGATAATATAGAGAGTTATCTTATGAAATTGATGGTAACGAACTTGATGAAAGTTGATTATATAAAAGAAGGAAGAGTTCTCTCTCGGTCACAAACATTACTCACTATTAACCATCAATAAGAGAGAGAGTAAGAAATAAAGACAAAGACATATATTAAAAAAATGAAATTGAAGAACTTATTTTTATTAAGTATCTCATGGATCAAGGTAAATTCCTTATTAATGATAATTTATGTGAGAATCATAAATTCTAATATCCTTTTGATGTGTAATAGTTTTATAACATTTAAGAATATATGAAAGCTACAACTTACAATCATTGGTAGCAATCATGTGTATCAACACTGATATTGAATAAAATTAAAGTCAAGGTGGTGATTTGTAAAATAATGTGTTAGAGTGACAATTGTTAGAGTTGAGGGCTCCTTCTTCAATTAGATTAAAGGTTTTTACGAGTTACACGATTCTTTTTGTATTTTTACGAATGTTGGAACTTCTTGGATTAGATGAGTGAGGTGTTAATAAAGATATTTTGACAGTCAAGTCAGATAAATAATTAGTGATGCAAATATAATATATTTGTAAACAATACTTGGCCTCACAGTGGATGCCAAATGTTCTTATAGAGCTGATGATCCCCTTCTTCTACTTTTCTACTAATCTTGGAACTTCTCAGACTAAATGTTCTAATGGGGTTGATGATTCCTTCTATATTTCTACTGGTCTTGGAACTTCTTGGGTTAGATAAGGGGAGTGACTACAAAGATATTTTGACGCTCAAGTCAAATTAGAAACTAATGATGCATGCATAATATATCTGTGAAGAGTGCATACCTTAGGATTCATACTAGTTATAGTGTGTTAATTTGACTTTTTACTTGGTAAGCCATAAATAAAGGCCCATAGTATGTAATTTTAGTTATATGTTTGGTTTATGAAAGTTGGTCTCACCATGTTATGTCGAGACCTATTCAATATAGTTACATTGTTACGTGAAAAGTTTATTTGTTATCTTTATTAAGGATCGTTATTTGGACTCAACATTTGATTGGAGCGTCTAATGTATGTTAAACACTTACTTCCTCAAAGTGTACTTGGTTGGAGTGTCTAACATCGACTTGGTTAAGTTTGTTATGATGGTTAGAGTTAGTTAGTTATGGATTAATTATTTACGAGTTAGTTATGCTTATTATTTAATTCATCTATATTTATACAACTAACTATTGAGAATTTAATTTTATTATTACTTTAAAATAAGAATTTTTATTATTGTTTTAAATAAAAGAAAAATATATTAAGTTATTATTTTGACTTTGGTAGTTTTCATTGAAATATTGTGAATATTTGATATTTTATCATATTTTTACTTATATATAAAGTATATATGAGTACTATTAGGTTGATGAAAATAATACATTTGAAAAGTCTTATATTACATTGGATAAACAATGAAATGAGTGATAATAATTATATAATACACTCAAAGTCTATGATGTTTAGATACCTTACTAAAAAATACTTTAAACATGTATTTGACGTTTTCTTGTACTCTATGTAGTAGAGTGTTGTGAGGTTTAGTTGTTTAAATTCTTGCTTTAAGGAGTACAAATGTATTTGGAATCAAAGAACATGGAAGAGTAGTCTATGTGTTGTAAATATTTTCCCAGTGTTATTCTCTGGTTATCATGAGTTAACGGTGATTGTTTTTTCTCCAATTTTGGAGTTTTTACATTAAATTCTTGTGTTATTGTTTTTATTTTATTTCTCTATTAGTAGGATAATTCTCGGAAATAAAAACGACAATGTTCTTCATGACATTTTTTTCCATCTTACATGAATAAAAAAATAGAAATGTCTACATAAAATATATTTCATGTATACAAAATACACATACACAAAAATCCTAAAAATTCTTATCCTTAATTAATTATATATCCACCACAAGTTCATGATATAAGATAAATTTGTAATCAAAATTATATTAAAATGTTTATTGTTTTAGTGATTTGTTGAATGTTTTAATACGAGAGTGTGAGATATTTATGTGATATGCTTACTACGTGTAAAATTACTAGTAATTTTGACAATAGTTTTTTCTTTTAAATAATACTATTAAGAAAAGAACAAGAATAGGTAATGTACAAGATTGATTTGAAAAAAAAAAAAAGTTTATATGATATTTCCATTAGAGTAGTTTTATTGATTTTGATAGAAGTGTTAAAATATGTTTAGTTTAATGAACTAACCTAGAAGCTTTAAGAAATAGGTAAGATTAAAAAATTTGTGCCCTAATATTATTTTATTAAAAAAAATATATATAATAAATTAATTTAACCATTTATTCCATATTTTTAGAGTAAATATTAAAATAAATATTTAATAATTACTGATTCATGATCAAATAGTTAAAATTAATTATTATTTTAAGTTAATAAATTATTAATAAATAAATAAAAATATAAAAATAAATATCTAATCATTATTATTTTAATATGTAATAATTAAGATTAATTATTATTTTAAATTAATAAATTAATAAAATAATAATAATAAATAAATTTTTAATTTTTATTTTAAAATTAAATAGATGATATTGTCTTATAATTTATATATTAAATTATTATATTTTATAAAATAAAATTATAAATAATTTTGATTAAAAGTATAGAAATAAAATAAATTTACTATTAAGAAGCCAAAATATTTTAGTCTTATAAGAGAGTATAGCCAAATAAAATGTGTACTTGTGACTTTTTATTTTTACGTTTTGGTGCAATTAAATTGTTACAGGGTGTAAAAATAAATTAATTTTTTGGAGCATCCAGAAGCTGTTATGTTGCATTTGCCCTAAAATTTCATTTTGCATGCGCGGTTCGGTGGAGGAACATAAAAGCAGAGCAAGTTCATTCCCAATGCCGCTCAAGCATTTTGGAGCTTCAAAATCAAATGGGGTTCTCCGACACCTTCGATTTTCTCGGTAAAGTCTCAGTCTCACTGTGTACCTGTTGCTGTGGCCGGGTTCAGAGTTCTTGAGTTCCTTTCTTCACTCTTCACATTCCAAAACTGAGTTTGATTGAAACTTCGAAGTGTATAGATTTATTGTGTTTATGTTCACCTCATGTCTAACAATACCAATTCCTCCTCTAAAACACAACCCCCTTATGCTTCTAACCCAAACCACCAAAATTTGTTGCTAAACAATGGTGTGGGCATGCCACCCCAGCCCCAGTTAAGTTCTGGCAACCACCCAGGCCAAAACATGATGCCCCCTTTTATGCAGCCACTGCCCATGAATGCAGCACCTTTCATGAATGCTGCAAATCACAATCATTTTCCCTTGCAAAACAATCACATGCATCTGCCTCACATGGGTTTGCCTGGCCATCAGCAGGGTCAACCCCTTGTGGGGGGTTTAGGTCCCCAAAATAGTGTTGGCAATCCCAATTACACCAATCCAATGTATCCTGTTCAGGGACAAGTCATGCAGAATGCGGCAGCTCCACTCAATTTGTCTCAATTCCAGGGACAAATGTTGGCACATAGTATTTTGAACATGCTTCAGCAGCCTAATATGAATATGAGTATGCCAAATAGCCAATTTTGTGTCCCTTATCCTATGCAGAATGTGAATCAACAGTTTCCTATCCAAATGCCAAACCCTTCTCAAGGGGTTCCTTATGGTATGCATCCTGGTCTCCACCCCATGTTTGGGTTTCCAAATCAAGTGCCTCAGAATTCATTATTTTCTGCAAATCCCCAGTTAGGTTTTGTGCCTGGAAATCAGGTCCAGCCGCAGATTGACCCGAATGAGAAAAACCTTCCTCCACCAAACTTTAATGCAAATGCTTTTGTATCATCGTCGCCTTTTTCATCTCATCAGTTACAAGGGAACACTTCTCAGCAGTTACAAGGGAACACTTCTGGGCCACTTAATCCTAATTTGGCTCATGCAAATAACTATCAACCTCCTGCATATATGAAGTCACACTCGCAGGTATTTAAACCGAAGTGTTTCTGTCTTTCAATGTGTGCATTACCAGAGTTTGTTGTTCCACTACATGTAAACGCTATTGTAAATAAAGCTGTGGCTATTATATTTACTGAAAATCCCAATAATTGCTGCAGGAGAATTCTAATGGCAATGTTAAAACTAATGTTCCAAATGCTAATTGGAATGGATCACCAAGCAAAAACTTCAAAAATAGACCAAATCGAGGGGGGTTTCACGGAGGGTATGCTATTTTCTTTTCTCTTTTGTTACTCTTGACGACTTACATGTTGTTCCTGCCAGTTACAATTGTTGTCCTGTTCCTTTAGATTTCAGAAGTCTAAATTTCATGATGTCAACAATGGAAAGAGAAAAAGTGGGTTTCCTAAAGAACGTAATGGCAGAGGTTTGAACTCTTCTACCTTGTTACCCACATGAAAAATTTTCTGTGGTTAGGCTAATGCTTGTGATGAAAGCAGGCCCTTACAGTGGGAGGGCAGGACAGGATGGTTTAATATCAAAGGAACTTAAGCAGCAACCAGAAAGGTAGCTACTGATTCAGTGTTTGATCCTTTTTTTATCTGTTCCCAGTCTATTACTTGCTTTGCTAGCAGTCCTTTTTTAAATATCTTTGTTCATCCTGATAGTGTGTGACAAGATGCTACTTAAATAGTCCTTAGTTTATTGTCTGCTTGGAAATGGAGGTTTTTTTTTACATTGCTGTTTTTGGAGTCTTAAAAATGATGCTACTAGATATCATCTGAACGTAATATTTTCTTGAAAATGTGATAATTTTTGAATAAGAATGATGTACACCAGAATAGTAAAACAATATTTATATTTTGTTGCCACTCTGTTAGAAGTTTTGGCATATTATCCTCGATTTTATGTCCAAATGTCCAATTTTATAGACTGTCCTTAGTGGCTACATATGGGACACGGGATTAAGTTAACTCTATAGTTAATAGTTATTTGTAACCAACTTTCATAAATTCAGTAATCAACTATCATTTTAGCTGAGGTTAGTAATCAACACACTACTTCTTTTTCATGGCGTCATAGATGCCTGTTGCGCATGCCCTACCCTCCAGTCATTAGAGTGACGTCACTCCACGGTTGGATTCTCCATCCTCTATACTTTCTGATCTAGCCCCTCTTTGTCCTTTCCTTGTGGGTTGGTGTTTGTTGGCTCCTTTGAGCACTTTGTAGGGTTCCCCTTTAAACCATCTCTTCTCTCTTTTCTTGTCAGAAATGACTTTTGGACCAACACATTGTTGATGAGGTTCTCCCACCTCCCACCATTACTTCACATAAGTTAAAAAGAAAAAATTATTTATCTTGATCAACATATGTTGAACTCTAGTTTTTTGGCCAAGGGTTTCATAAATACATGGAAAAAAAAGATGGTAATGAAATTTATAAGAAAGTGCCTCACAATGGAAAAAACTAGACTTTCAACTTTGTGCTTTGTGTTGGCAATTTGTGGAACCCAATATACTAGGAACCCTCAAAACATTTAAAATGTGCAAATCATTTTAGAAGAAAGTCAAGATTATTTTTGCAAATGACATATTGGTTCTATGATTCTGCCACAAGGTGACACCTCTTAAACAGGCAAATCATGGTATGATGTTGTTTGTCGTTGAAAGTCAATTTGTTGTTGAGGAATTAAAGATGTTCTTAGAAGATGATATCCTAGAAGAAATTATGAATAAATTTGGCAAATTATATATGGTTATGATCCTTGTGTCATTAATCTAGATTTTTTTGATATTGGTGATCAAATCTTAAAAAGTCAAGAAGTTCCATCTATAGAAAACTTAACAACATGATTATGTGTTTAGTAGAAATAGAGAGGTGCCTAATTCTATCTCACAAAATTGACTTGTAAGGTGAGATTTGCACCTAAATTATATATTATTAGTTGGTCATATCTCTAGTCGATGTGGGATTTTCAACACACCCTCACGCTAAGGAATGAACAACTCGAGAACGTGAAACTGAATATTAAGGGTGGACCAATAACGAGTAGAGTAATAAGCCAACAACAATTATTAGGATAGACTTTGATATCTTGTTAGAAATGAAGAGGTGCCTAACTCAACCTTACAAAATTGACTTGTAAGGTGATGTTTGCATCTAAATTATATATTATTAGTTGACCATATCTCTAGTCAATGTGAAATCTCCAACCGTGTTCTAGATCTAAAAAGTAGAAATCTTCATGAATTTATTGAATGTTCTCAATGTACTTATTGTAAAAAAATGGTCATACTCAAGAAAACTATTATTCTCTTCCCTTTTCTTTTCCTAAAATTCCTTACCTCACAACCTAGGACATAAGGATCTAAAGTTGTTTCTCAAACAATTGATTAAGTTTCCCTTTCTCCTTTCGTATACTTAAATTTATCTTCTTCTTGCATATCCCTTTAATCTTATTTTTATTAGTCAATTAGCCAAGTCATTAAATTATTCAACAACTTTTATTGCCAAATCTTTTTTATATAAGAACGTGGTACAGGTTGACTGATTGACGAAGGATATGAATCTAGAGCTTAATACTATTTTGGAACTAGTTCATTTATGTTTTGTTTTGCATCCTTATGTCCTACCTTTTTGTGTGATTGCTTGTCTCATCCTCATTTGTCAAAATTGAAGAAAAATAGTTTCTAAACATAGTAGACTTCAAGCCTCAAAATGTGGGTCATGTTAACTACAAAAACATGTTAGATCTTCTTTTCCCAAACAACAGTCAAGATGTAATTTTGTCTTTTCCATCATCCATTTTTACATTTGGAGGCTAGTTGTGTCTCATCTTTTGGATTTGATATTTTGTCATATTTATTTGATGAATATTCAAGATTTACTTGGGTTAATCTAATTAAAGCCTATTTTGAACTTTTCTCTATATTTATGCTTTTCCTTAATGATATAAAAAATCCATTTGGATAAGTAATCAAAATTTAAGAAGTGACAATGTCAAAAAACATAGTTTTCTTGGTTTCTTTGCTCTTTTAAGCTCACATGCCATTTTACATTAGTCTACTTGTCATCATACACCTTAACAAAATAGTATAATATAAAGAAAAAAATAGACATTTGGTTGAAATTGTTCGTACCTTATTGCTTGATGCCAATATGTCTGTTCATCATTAGGACAATTCTTGTTTTACTACTTTTTTTTTATGACAAAATGACCTCTTCTCTAAATAAAGTTCCATATTCTATTCTATTTCCAAATGAGCCCCTATTTAATATTTTTTCCCATGTTTTTGGTTGTGTGTGTTTGTAAATGAAATGTGTCTTGGTTTGGACAATATACCTCCTAGAGTTATCAAATATGTCTTCCTAGGATATTCTTGCCTTCAAAAGAGGTATGAATGATCTTTCCTGAAAGACAGAGGTATTACATGTTTGCAAATGTCACTTATCTAAAATATACTTCTTTCTTACCTTGTTCTGTATAAGATGTTAACTTCGTCCAATAGGTCCTACTTATGTCATTATTGAGTCATTTATTTTTCCTACTCTTGATAACCCAAACCCTAACCCAAAGTCCACCCAAATCATCAGCACCACTTCTTATCACTTATCACTTATCAGTGCAAGACCCAAATGACTAGTCTAATGCTCCAAGGTAAGCTCTCTTCATCAAATCCTTCCCTATCATCACTCAATCCGATAACTTTGATACTGAAGATTTAAGATGGCTCATTGCTAAAATCAAAGATAATTGTTTTACTTGCAATCCACATTCTATATACAATTTTCTTAGCTTTTCAAATTTCCCAAAATACGATTTTCTTTGCTATAATTCCTCTTGCCCATACTGTGTTTCTATTTGTTGTTGCAATTCCTCTATTTAATCTCTTCTTTGAATAAAAGTTACAACAATCTCTCCTGTCATTTTTGCGACTATGTTTGCCATAACCTTGTGGGTTTTTGTTGTAAGCCTACACCTTCACTTATACGTTTCGCTTATTTATGTCATCCATTTCTTTTATATTAATTTTATCATAATGTTTTATAAATTGAACTCTTTTGCTTTATTTATGCAATTCCACTTGCTTTGTTTCTCTCATCTCATTTAATCTCTCTCAAATTGGTATTTTGCACATTCTTAAAATGACTTCAAATCCAATTTCAAACTCCTCTACATGTGACTCTCTAAAATGCTTTAGGAAATAGAAATGATATAACTTGGAAGCATTGTATTTTAGTTGGTAGGGATACTTGGAAACATCAAGCAAATACTCTTAGAAGGTAATAGCATAGGGAGCTTATTGGTTGAAGCATCAATTCACTTGTATTTCAAAGGATGTTGGAGCTTGCAAGGGTGTTACAAATGAAGTGAAGAAGGAAATATGGGAAAACAAAATTTGATCAAAATGAGAAAAGTGCAAAAGTTGATAATAAAAGACAAAAACAATGAAGCAATTGACATTGATAGACTTAACAATATTTTTAAGGAGAGTATTTAGCACACAAGCCACCATCAATACCATGTTTAAGAAACGTGGGAGAGAGGAAGCATGTTAAGCAATAGCTAAGTTTTTCTACAACAATGCTATACTTTTAATTGATTTGGTTTTATGGAATGGCCTTAGATTTGAGTCTTGAAATCATGCGATTACATTCAAATATTTGAAGAAAGAAGTGAAAAATACATCATTTGCTTGACAAACATATAGGGATGAATGGAAAAAAATAAAATGTACAATTATGATTTATGGTTGGACTAACAAGAAAAGAAAGACAATAATAAACTTCCCAATGAATAGTCCAAGGGAAAATTATGTTGTTCAAGTTGTGACAATAAACTACATAGCTTCTGGTTGTTGATGGCAAAGAGTAAAAGCCTATATTGGACACCTTGTGCAACACATTGTGTTGACTTGATGTCGGAGGATTATGAGAAGAAGATTTCAGTTCATGAGGAGACAATTTTATAAGGTAAAAGAATTACAATCTTTATCTATTGAAGAATTTTAATTTCTCTACTATAACATTTCACAAAAGGAATAGATTTAGTAAGATCAAGTTTTACTTGCTTTACAATATCTTAATTAACATTAGGGTGCCTTCATGAGAAAATGAGAGCTTTAATTAGAGTTTTATTAGTAATGAATGAAAGTCTAGTAGGTTTGCAAAAACAAAGGATGGAAAAATAATTGAGTATATGGTTTAGTGTAAGGATTTTCGAAGGAATATTGTAAATTGTTTAAAGGGTGTTTTGCATCTAATTGAAGTGTTTTGTTTTAATTAGTTGATTTGGATAAAAAACTAGTCATGGTGTTCATTTTTGAAATAATGGGCCAAGCTAAGGAGAAGATGCAAAAGGCTTTCATTGTTGTCAAAAGAAGGTATCTAACTATTTATATATAAAGTTAGTGATTTTGAAACATAATATGGGAAACAAACTCAATGTAATTATTAGAAATGGAGAGTCTAACTCAACCATACAAAACCGGTTTGTAATGTGAGTTTGCACATAAGTTATATATTATTAGTTAGTCATATATTTAGTTGACGTGAGATCTCCAAGACACT